CTACTATGCTTGATTTGGTTCGCCAACACCTTCTCCGAGCTCAACATCGCATGAAGTCGCATGCTGACAAGCACCGCTCAGAGAGGTCATTCAACGTTGGCGACATGGTGTTCCTCAAGCTCCAACCGTACGTCCAGGCCTCTCTTGCTCCTCGTGCTCATTAGAAACTCTCCTTTCGTTACTTTGGGCCATACAAGGTGCTGGAGAAGATCGGAGCTGTCGCTTACAAGCTGGACCTGCCGGACTCGTCTTCTGTTCATCCGGTATTCCACGTATCTCTACTTAAAGCTGCCCCGTCGACCAAGTTCCCTCTCTCGGTGGCTCCTCCAGAATCTGCGGAAGGCTTGCAGGTTCCTGAGGCAGTGCTGCAGCGCCGTCTCCATTCCCGTCGCTCAGGTGCGGTTGTTCAGCTCTTGATCAAGTGGTCCGGTCTGGCTCCAGAGCTTGCTACCTGGGAAGATGCAGAGGCCATACAGCAACGTTTTCCTTTTGCTCCGGCCTAGGGACATGCCGGGTCGCAAGAGGAGGGGGGTGTCACGACGCCACACCCAGTGAACGCTGAGCCCAGGAAGGGAAATCACATGAGGCCCATGAACAAGAGAGTGACCGGCCCAGATTGGGTTTGTAACATCTGTGAGCCCAAGCCCATCCGAGAGCAGTAGAAGAGTGAAAGGAGGAGAGGAAGAAAGACAACCAACTCTGTAAAGACAAACCCTAAATCACTCTACCGGTCGACAGCCTGTCCGGCGGACCTCGAATCCCCTTTTCCAGTTCCCCGGCGCCGCCGCAGCGAGTGACTTCGACACTCTCTCTCTCTTATCAGAAACAGGCTCGACGATCGGCGTGCCCTGACCTAAAAACACTCCATGATTCGCCGCTATCTTTCTGCTGTTCCTCTGTTGGGTTTGGGTGGTGACTGGTTGTTGAGCCTCCGTTTCCAGAACCAGTAGAAACTGGAGCCGCGTTTGCGTGATGCCACTGCCAGGCCTCGCACTGCAATTTGCAAACGCAAAGCTGTGCGCTTACTACAAATGCTGCAGTGCCCGATCAGATATTTAGATGGATGGATGGATGAAGGGAAGATGACAGCTCTCATGCCACACGGAAGCTTGAGAACGACACGTCGCTCAATCACCTGTTCGCTTGATTGTTTATGTGTCTCGTAAGCCAGTTGATGCTGTTTTATTGTAAGAGAAAAACACTGTATCATGATTGATACGATCAAGCGAAAACAAACAATATCTCCACCTCTGATCATCTGCAACTTCTGACTGGCGGAGCCACGTAGGCAAGGGGAATGCCGGTTTGACACCTGGAACGGTTCATTTTTCGTGATCCCAAACTGTATATTAGTTTATCATGTGTCTCAAGATGTTGAGATGCCTCATCTTATCTCGAAGGACGAACGGCAAGTCAAAGGAGAAAGGACCCAATCTGATGGTAAAGAAAGAGAGACCGTGACCCGTGACACGTGAGGCATGGTGGCGTGGCATCTTTTCCTTCATGCCTTGTGATCAACTCATCTGGAAAAACAAGCAAGTACCTTATCATGTCTAGATACATGACAACAGTAGCGTACCTAAAAAAACAAAACGACTAATAATTAAGAGCAGAGGGAGTATTTCCTTTTGTTAATGCTAATCAACGCATGAACACAGCACAGCTGCTCTTAATAATTTACACTTTTGGGATCATGAAGCAAGCGCTAGCGGCCACATTGTACTTGCTGCACTGCAAGCAATTGCAGGGTGGCACGGTGCGCGTAAAGATCTGGGGTAGGGGGTAGGGAGTAGGGAAGCATCAAAGGCAGGTATGATGGATGGATGGACCTTCCTCTAATCCTCTCTCCATGTCCATGGTCCATGCATGCTGCTAGCCTGCTTTAGTGCTATCTGCAATGCAATGCCTCTTCCCCATCGTCTGCGTCAGTTGCAGTTGCAGATGAAGACAGCAGTTCAATCTTTTTCTCCCAAAAGATGAGGAGGACCGCAGTCGCCCGCTGCAACTTGCGTGGGTTCTCTATCGGCTCGATGCCAACTGACAAAAGCCCCTTCTTATATGTTTAGTGCAGAGTGATTTGATGTAAAGTAAGAGATACAAGAGACAAATGAGAGTGGAAAATTGTTGTTCATTCATTGATCCATGGACATATATATACATGTGAAAGGACATTTCCGAAGGGTGCCTTCTAAGAGAGCGGTTGAATAAAGTGATTCACAATACTCCCCCTTATCAATAGCATCATCCATTACTAAGAGAGCGGTTGCTGATAAAATGATTCACAACATTCTAATCTACCCCACGGTAGATTCCGTTACTGAAAGCCACTAAATCCTGCTGCAGGTGAATTGGAATCAATCTGTTTATTGTAGGAAGCTTAATGGTCAATCTTTAATTAATCTTATAATAATCTACCAGGAGCAGGCAGGTGGGGAAGCTGGGTTAGCGATAAGTACGAGAGGGCAAGCCACACGTGCGCGGCAGCTGGACAGATGGACACAACCAAAATTTAATCCTCCGGGAACACAAAGATAAAAGCCACATCTGCAGTGGTGGAGTGGAAGGCTTCACAGGCCACAGAGGAAAAGGGCGAAGGAGATGGCATTGGAATTGGAATAAAAAATAGAGGAGAGTAGGAGAAGCGCGCACACAACACATGAGCACAATCCGCAGGCCGCAGCAGAGAAGTGCAGAGGAGAATTCAGATCAAACCCAAGGTGTTGCCTTCTTCCTATCCCCCCTCCTGATGTCGACGTCCACCCTCTCCTCGATTTCCTTTTTCGGGTTTTTAATATTAATCGCCAGCAATTCTGCACGCAATACGTTGAGTGGGAAAGATCCTACGCAGTATATGCGTATGTATGTGTGTGCGTGCGCCTGCGCTTCCTTGCTTCCCCTGCCTTCTTTTATTCGCCTCTCCTTTGTTCGCTTGCGGGCTGCGGCTTCGGGAAGGAGGAGAGGACGAGGGAAGGGCGGGCGGACGAATGTACAGTCCCGGTGAGTTCTTGGAATCCGACCCGGCTCTTGTTGATTCGTTTCCGCGCCCATGATCTTAGGGTTGGTTCTTCGTTTGGGCGCTGCTCGGGGCGGAGGCGCGATTTATCCGGCGCGCAGCCGCCTCGAACTGCGATTCTTTCTCCCACTCATGCTGTTGCGTTTTCTTGGCACTGCCTGGTACAACATTGGTACCAAAATGCGGCCGAATTGTTGCTGTTTTTTTGGAGTGTGGTTTTGTTGCTGGGAAGAGGGTTTTAGGGAATGCGGCTAAGGTGCGCGCGTTTTAGTTCATCAGAGACTGGAATTCTTGGGGCGGACCCGGAGTTGCGCATTCTTGATCCGGCTGCTTTCGCCTGCCAAGCAATGATGCGGCCGCCATGGCCTTATCCGATTTCTTTTGGGTTCTTTTCGTCGGGAGAAAGTACGCGAGTAATGGGGCCAAAGGGAGCAGCTTTTTACCAGTCTTCAGCGTCTACTACAATGGATTGTTCGCCCGCAGTGCTTCTGCTTCTTTTTCACTTTTTTTGGGCAGTAAAGTAGCATTTGAGTGCTTTTGTTGGGATTGTAAAAAATAAAGGTCGGAATCTTTGAACTGTTCTCAACTCAAATGATGGCTGCTAGCGCTTTCAGTTGCAATTGCTCTGTTTTTTATTGATCTTTCCTCAGTTCTGGTCCAGATTTCTTCAGCTTTCTCTATCCCTTGAGCACAAAAAGAAAGGCAGCTTCTCTTCTTTTATTTTCAATTTTATGATCTTTGATTGAGTTGATGTTGCTGCTTGTGCAATTCCCGTGTGTGATGCTAAGAGTTTGTTTCTTCTATACCAGTTTAGAGCTTCAGTTTTAATGGCACTTTAAACTTAGTGAAGATCATCGTCATGCTTCCCTTGTGCAGCCTTTTCATATGAGGTCATTTGCAGCTGAATGTTGAATGGGTCTTTTTGTTGAGATGCTCATGATATGATTTGTGCTATAGTCTGTTGGAAGTCCAATCATGGTTAGGATATTAATGTGCTATAGGCAGCCAGTAAGATTTCTGTATACAACAACAAGACTTCCCTTGCTATAAATTTGTACTGAAATGTCAAAGCCATGATTATTAGTTAAAGCAATAATAGATACCCCAAGTTCCAATCTTCTTTCTTGTGGCTTTTTTTATTCAATCCAGCTAGATTTCTGTCACAGTCATATTACACAGCAAATTTATGATCCCCAAATTGACGTGATGCAATCATACATGTTCAGTTTTTTAGGTGCTTCCTAGAAAAATTATTCCTTTGGGGCCTTTGGTCAATTTCTACAAAATGTGGTACCTTTTTAATCATTTATAACTTGAAAGTTGGTGTTTTTATTGTTGGTTCTGCTGAAAATGTTTAGAAGCAAAACATAAGTTGTAAAAACATATTAAAGAATACAGCAAAAGGAATTAGCGTACGAGTTTCTAGATACATGTTAGACTTCCAGTCCTCTCGATTGTTGCTCTCCTGCATTTTAGATATTGCAATATTTTATTACAGAACAGATTCAAAGTTTGGAGTAAATTTATCATTGTTTTGGAAATATTTAGTAATAAATAATAAGTTTAGCGAAAGACCCTTGCTGTCGCCCCTTTGCTTCGATAGTGTTACCTCTATTAATTAAAGGAGCAATCGTTCTTCTGATATCGGGCTGGGTAAGCTTAGGTAATGCTACTGTACATGATAGAATATCATACGTATTATGATATTCTGGTCCCTTTTTGGCTAGAAACATTATATTCAGGATGTTAGAGATGTAGAAGGTAGAGCACTAGAGTCTCTTGTTGACCAAAATATTACTTTTATTATAGGTGTTATAGTTGTACAAGTTAGAGAACTAGAGTACATTTTTCAAACTTTCATATATTCTAATGCTAATTAGATCACTTCTTATGAAATTACTTTCATTGCTTATTTGCTGCTGTTTCTTTTTGCAGGAGAATATTGGTGAAACAATAACTTGATATAGAGTTCTAGACCAAAGAAGCAATGGAAAGGGAATCGTCTACCCCATATGAGCCAAAAAGGAACTGTGAAATAAGGGTTTTTGAGAGTTCAGATGAAATTTCAACAGATCTTGCTGAGTATATCTCAGAAATTTCAGAAATTTCTGTCAAAGAAAGGGGATACTTTGCCATCGCCTTATCTGGAGGTCCCCTAGTCAGTTTTTTGGGGTAATATTGTTTCCTAATATTTATTACATATTCTACTCTATTATGTACTAGAATTGCTTACATAGTTTGCATTCCAATATCTGAACTTTCTCTCTTTCAATTACTATAAGGAAACTTTGTGAAGCACCATACAACAAGACCCTGGATTGGTCCAAATGGTACATCTTCTGGTCTGATGAACGTGCCGTGGCAAAAAACCATGCAGAGAGTAACTATAAGTTAACAAAAGAAGGATTTATTGCCAAGGTATGTGAACTGAAGATGCCTTCTTTTTCTTTTTCATTTTTTGTCTGTGCTGCAGCCTAAATTAAGCTCATGTCAAGAATTTTTGTCATTAAGATCAGCTTATTTTGTATTGAAACGGTGCTGTCTGTCATGGTGTCACCTACTCTATGTTTCGTTGAAAAGTGAGTTAATTTGGCTTCTCTTTTTGTTTATTGTTCTGTACCAACCAGACAGTGGCTGTATCTTGCAGGAGATCCTCTTTACTGATGGTACACCAGTTGCTTCCACTAATATTGCTTTCCCCTCTGCATACCTAAACAATGAAAAAATTATTCACTGAAATAAGATGTTGACAAACTCTTATATACAAATTTAATAGCTGAAGTGAGTGTCTTGTTCCTTAACCTAAAATGCTGTGTTTTGGTTGTCAAGTGCAATGTTTGGTGCCCACTGAACTATATGATCTGGTGGTTTCTTTTGCTATTGTGGGATATTTTTTTGTGACTGATGTTTGATTGAAGTATTGATGCTACTGTGTTTACTCTTTGCTTACCATTTTTTGATGCTTTTGTGTGGAAGTAATTGATGTGATTATTTGCCACCACTTGTGTTAGATCAACCTTAAGTTACAATAATTTTTTGCTTTATGTTATGTTCACCTTGTTGAGACTACAACCATGAACAGAATATTATGAACACTGTAAAGTCTACAGAGCAAGAACGAACTTGTGTCATACCTCAATGTTGTTCTGATAACAAATAAGAGTGGAATTTTAGTTTATCTAGCCCTGTTTAAGGGCGTACCCAGTGCAGAGAGCTCCCGCTCTGTGCAGGGTCTGGGGAAGGGTGTTAGTGGCAAGCCTTACCCTCACCTGTGCAATGCGAGGAGACCGCGACTCGAACCCGGGACCTTCCGGTCACAGGCGGTAAGACTCTACCGCTTGCACCAGGCCCGCCCTTCATATCTAGCCCTGTTTAAGATCTTAATATTTTTATTCTATGTTGATGATGTTGAATGCATGTTATGAAATACTACCATAATTGTTTTATGACTAATGTGTTTTCCAAAAAAAAATTATGATAGTGTTAAATTAACTATCAGGTGGGTCTGACTTACGTGTGGCTTTCTGATGTTCTATTTTTAGAAAAAAAAAAGTTTTCCTTGTTTCAACCAAAAGTTAGGAGTTTTGGTATTTCTGTTTCAGGACAAGGCTTAAAATTACTAGAGTACCAATCAGAGGGAGTCATAGATAATCAAGAATTCCATGTGCTTTGTTGCTTCGATTCTTTCAAAGAGAAATCAGGTCAAGAGTAGTGGCATATAATATATTAGCTCAAAATCTATGATGCTAACATTCAGTCTCTTATTTTTGTTCTCATTTATCGCTATCCATTTTCCTTTACTGTTACAGTAAAAATATTACTGCCAATTGCAAAGCAGAGCACATGTCAAGGTAGATTTTTACACCTTAGACACTGACTGGTCTGGATGGGTGGCTGGGCTAATTTGCATTATGATGTGTCATGTTCTTGTAGTATGATATTTTCAAACTTCAGATAATGCTATATCCTGTGTCAACTTGGGGGTGGGGACTGATTAAGGCTGCCTAACTACCGCTTTAATAGTTCCATCTTCCAGCTACTCTGGAAGCACCCTTCACCAACCACACATTTTCATAGCTATCCATCATTGCCCAATGTCAGACAAAAAACTTATCAAAATGTGTTTTTTTTCAACAGAATGGCTGGCTCTGAACTGGTCTCTCCTCCATGCACCAGTCTGATTAATGTTTAGATTTTTAGGTTGTATTTTTCTAGGCTATATTATTTCTTAATTCAAGGAGCTTAACAAAAAATCAGTTAACTTTTTGTTTTTAAATCTCTCTATTGGGCATATCCCTATTTTTTTTTCTTCGTGGACCCATTTAAATCTCTAGAGAGTGCAAACTGTTTTGGTTGTCTAAAAGCCTTAATATAACCGCAGCATTCCCTGTTCTGCTAGTGTTACTGTTGCATGAGATTTTCTCAAGTGTGTCATTCATGTTCTTCTCTGTGGAGTCTTCGACTATATGTCTGCTTCATTCTGTTCCCTTTCTTGCCATACCAGTTGCAATGATTCCCATGTTTAGCTCAAGAAGCAAAAAATCTGAACAAGATGTGTTAGTATCTTTGTAGTGCTTTTGCCAAGTTAACTATCTGATACTTGAATGGCATTTACAGGTACCTATTCCGCATGGCCATGTCTACTCCATAAATGACAATGCCACAGTGGAGGATGCAGCAACAGACTATGAATTCATGATCAGGCAGCTGGTTAAGGTCCGCACAATAGGAGTCTCAGAGAGAAACGACTGTCCCAAGTTTGATCTCATCCTCCTAGCCATGGGCGCTGATGGGCATGTGGCCTCGCTTTTCCCGAACCACCCTGCCATGGAGCTGAAAGACGATTGGGTCACCTACATCACTGACTCCCCGCAGCCTCCTCCTGAGAGGATCACCTTCACTCTTCCAGTAATCAACTCAGCATCCAACATAGCAATAGTGTCCACCGGTGATGACAAAGCAAATGCTGTTCACTTAGCAGTTTCTGACACGACCGAAGGTCCTGATGCTCCTACATCACTGCCTGCTAGAATGGTCCAGCCAACGGACGGGAATCTGGTGTGGTTTCTGGACAAGGAGGCGGCATCATTCCTTGAGTCCATGAACGACGATGCTTCCTACGAGCATCGTGAGTACTAACTCTGAGGATCTGAGGTCGTTTTGAAGTGAATGAACGGAGGTGTGTAAGTAGGTGGTGGCATACGATGGAAGACGTGCTGTTCCCCCTTTTAGCTCTATCTATGCATTGATTTTGTCTGAGGGTTTAGTTCCGGGAAATCTGAAATTGCCCTTGGTCCCTTTGCAATGAGAGGTGATTTAAGCGAGGAAATGTGTATGCGATGTTGAGTCGTCGAAGAACATCATATTTAACTCTGGTCGTATGATATTATGTGCTACATTCTATGTAGTGGAAGTTAGATTTTTTTTTTATTTGTTGGTATGTCTTTCATGGCGCTCTTCTAAAAACATTCTGATCCGCGACACAAATGCTACTGTTCTTTTAGCTCGGTATGGATTCAGTATGTTGTTTCTTCATTCGGTTTGGTCAAACGAGTGACTATGAGCTGAATGATAGAAGTGTCACTCAGCCTTAATCACGACATCTTAACGACGCCAGTAGGCCTGACTTGCACGTTAGACCTTATGTTCTTTAGGGAATCTGATACTAGTTACTTCTACAAGTTACCAGGAGCTCTCCAAGAGTTGGTTTCACCGTTTGGGAGGGCTCCACTCGCAGGCAGAGTGCTAGAGTTGGAGCCCCTAGGATGAAGCCACTTTTCAGGCAGTATGTGAAAAAGGGCGTGTTTGGATTGTGCTTCCAGGCAGCACCCAGGCAAGGTTCCCAAGCGTCCGATTTCGGATGCCCGGGGCCAGGATCGTTTGCCTGGAAGGCATCTACCTGCGAGGGCACCATCCAAATGAGCCCGAAGGGCGCCGGCTCCTCCCATTCGCAACAAGAAGTGCTTCTCGGTGTTGTTGCGTTTGAAGTTTGATGCGGCTCTGTCGGAGCTGGTGGAGTAGGTGAGGGAGCTACACCAAACGGCCCCTTAGTGGGTGAGCCAACGTGCATTTCATAGGTATGGTTTTAGTGAGGTCGTTATTCGTAGTTGACTTATACTATCTTTTAACGTTAGTTTGATGCAAGAACATGTTTAATTATGCGTAGTAAATGATGATGTCCGGTTTTAAGGTTCTAGCAGAAAAATCAGACTACAATAGTGTAGAGTAACACCAACAATGATCTCCAAAATAGGGTCCTACTTATGATTTTAGAACTTCGTCTCCTTTTGAAGACCCAACTCAACTTCAGTAGTCCTCAATTGAGGACTCGTAACTTTTATGATCTATGTCAATCACGTATATACTCCCTCCATTCCAAATTATAAGATGTTTTGGTTTTTCTATATGCGTAGCTTTTGCTATATACTTATATATTCACTATGTCTAGATACACAGTAGAAACAACTAGAAAAGTCAAAACGTCTTGTAATTTAGAATGGAATGAGTGTTTTCTTTTTACTTTTACCCTATCTTCAAATCCCCTGCTTCGTCGCCGCTGCGTCGAGCCGCATCGCGGGAGTTGTGCTGAGGAGAAAGAGGCCACGCTGAGATAGTCGTGTAGATGAAGAGTGAGGGTCCGGTGCCACTTGATCCGAAACGAAGAGATCAACAATGGGCAACCGAAAATAGGGGCTCCCTTTGAAGCCCCGAAATAAGGGGGTAAATTAGGAGTCTCCTACTCTAAAGCGTCTGGGTAGAGGCTCTACTGTTGTAGTTTATTTTTTCTACCTCCATATGTCAAAATATTAGAAGCTTTGCTTTGTTTTTCCCCTTCCCAGAGGCAGGTGTTTTCAGAGGCCCTATAACTGTATTTGCAGGCAGGCCTAGCGAGACGGTTCACGCCCGCCGCTTACCTCTCTACGGCCTTTGACGGAGATGCATGCCCCATTCCACTCCAAAATCAGTTTCTTGATATGGCGCGCCTCTCATGTTGTGTCCCCAACTTCGTGCTGAGCCCTAGCGGATCTGTGGTTGTCTCATCAGCGGTTGCCCAAGAAGGCAGTGGCGGCCCCAGTGGGCATGGATTTAAATAGCAGGATATAGCGCCGCTATAGCGTCTGGAGAGCCCACGTTAAGCTATTGTTCTTTTTGCTGCTATGTGAGCTACGACCGCTAAATCGCGTAGCGCCACTAAGTTGTTTAGCTTTAGCTTTAAAATAGCGCCGCTATTTCAATTTCAACGACAACAACGACAATCTAACTATGATCTACTTATCTTTTGATGCTAATTTGGTCTTTTCGACAATTGAGCACTTGAGTTTCATGAACCATGATATAATATCATATTAAGTAATGTTTCAAGATTCTTGAAATCTAGAAAACATATTTGTATTCATCAAATTTCATGTTTGTCATGTTTTTGTGCACCAACTAATTGCATTTTTCATGATTTTTTTAAAAAACCGTTATATATCATAGCTCCGCTATTTATCGCTGCTAGAAAAAAGTTGCCGCTATTTGCCCTAGCCCGATATTTTAAACCATGCCAGTGAATAGTCCAAGTAGGCCCAGATCTACCCTGGAATTTGGCCCAAAAACAAATTAGTACTATGCAGCCATAATAATTTGGCCCACACAAGGCAGAGCATACGCGAGAGGCCGCCGCGACGACTCTGCGCGAGACGAGGCCGCGACTCCGACGCTTCCTTCGCCTCCTCTGCGCGAGTGGCGACCGCCGACCGCCGCCCCAGCCGAGCCCCGAGGCCGAGCGACGGAGATCCCCCGCCAGCCGCCGGCTTCCCGCCCCATCCCCGCGGTCCCGCCGCCTTGCCGAGCGCCGAGCGCCACCCCAGCCACCCCGCGGCCCTGCGTGGCCGGACTCCGCCACTCCGCCGGCGGCGGGCGCGCCAAGCCGCCAAGCAGCCGGCCAGGCCAGCCGGCGGCCGCCCATTCTGCCCTGGCCTCTGCCCCCTGCTACCTGCTGGCCTGCCTCCCTGGTGAGTTCTTGTCCCTTGTGTGAACTTTCCTTTAGGGTTTTGGACATTCGATATTCGAAAATGGAGAATGGAGATTGGGCTGTAAATTGGGCTTAGGGAATAGGGATTGTGGATTTGTGAGCCTAGAATTGAATGAGATCTGTTGTTGTTTTCCTGGAAATTGAGGCATGAAGAAATCAAATATTGCATATGAATTTTTTCACAATTTGGTTAATTTATAGTCATGTGCACCGAACTTATTTTTTGGATTTACCGTATTGCATATGAAAATTTTGACTAGGACTACCTGAATTTCAAATCCTAGGTCCGTTATTGCAAGGAGGCAATGGAGCTGACACCGCCGCTGCCCGACGACGTCCTCGTGGGCGTCCTCTGACGCCTCGCGCCACGCGGCCTCACCGCATCCCACTGCGTCTGCAAGGCGTGGCGACGCGTCGTTGACGACCGCCGCCTGCTGCGCGCAGACCTCCTCCCGCGCTCGCTGGGCGGCATCTTCCTCAACTTGAATGAGCTACGTTTCACGCAGTTCCTCTACGACGGGCGCCGCTGTCTCCGGCCGGCTCGACTACACGGTGCCCGGTGAGCTCGACTGCATGCCCCCCATCTATGTCAGGGATCACTGCAATGGCCTCCTCTTGCTCGGCCACTGTGTGGTAAACCCCGCCACACGGCAGTGGGCGCCCTTGCCTCCGCTCCCGCCACTGCCCCAACCCCTTCTTACAGAGCAGTACCTCCTGTTTGACCCCACCCTGTCGCTCCACTATTGTTGATAGTGCCCGATATTCCTTCCGACCTGAACGAAGAATGTGAGGAATCTGAATGGCCGCCGTCCAGCTTGATACTACATGTCTTTTTATCAAAGACTGGTTTCTGGGAGGAGAGGACATTCGGTCGGGAAGGGGAGGCTGCAGGGATGTTGCCTGACATGGTTCGGTCAAAACGAGGACGTTTCTTCGAGCGTCAGTGTGGCTACTGGCGAGGAGCACTCTATATATGCTGCTCCGACTGTTCTGTTATGAGGTACTCGTAGATATATAGATATATGTTAGCTCCTTAAACGTTATCATTCCGGTTCTGGTTTTAAGCATTATGATAGGATTATTTATAATATATTATTATTGCAGAATATCACTTCTTGTATGACCGCAAATCCAACTTAACATACACATTTCCGTGACACTTATCCGTTGAACATGTCGTCTCTTCATAGGTCAACATTTTGCATCATACAACATAGCAGGTCTAATCGTCGTCCTATAAAACTTGTCTTTTAACTTCCGTGGTACCCTTTTGTCACATAGGACATCAGATGCTTGGCGCCACTTCATCCACCCTGCTTTGATTCTATGGCTAACATCTTCATTAATATCCCCGTCTCTCTGTAGCATTGATCCTAAATATCGAAAGGTATTCTTCCTAGACACTACTTGACCTTTCAAACTAGTGCCTAGGTAGTGCCTAGGAAGGATACTTTTCGATATTTATGATCAATGCTACAGAGAGACGGGGATATTGATGAAGATGTTAGCCATAGAATCAAAGCAGGGTGGATGAAGTGGCGCCAAGCATCTGATGTCCTATGTGACAAAAGGGTACCACGGAAGTTAAAAGACAAGTTTTATAGGACGACGATTAGACCTGCTATGTTGTATGGTGCAGAATGTTGGCCTACGAAGAGACGACATGTTCAACAGATAAGTGTCGCGTATGTTGCGTTGGATTTACAGTCATACAAGAAGGGATCGAGTTCGGAACGATGCTATACGTGATAGATTAGGGGTAGCACCAATTGAAGAAAAGCTTGTCCAACACCGGTTGAGATGGTTTGGACATGTCCAACGGAGACCTCCAGAGGCACCGGTGCGTAGTGGAATCCTAAGCCAGGATAGTAACGTGAAGAGAGGCAAAGGAAGACCGAAGTTGACTTGGGTAGAGACAATAAAAGGAGACTTGAAAGGATGGAATATACCTAAAGACTTAGTCTTAGATAGGAGTGTTTGGAAAACAGCTATTCACGTGCCTGAACCTTGATTGCTTCTGCTGGGTTTCAACTCTAGCCTACCCCAACCTGTTTGGTGGACTTAAAGGCTTTGTTGTTGTTGTTGCAGAATATCACTCAAAAAAAATACATATCAAGCAATT